TAAGTGGTCATAGTAGTAATAAATATCATTCAATATATTTTTACATCTACAGCTTGTCTTACCTATAAAATATTTGTATGACTAAAAAAATATTTAGACCACTGCATGTAAACTTCCTAATGTGACTAGCTTTCTTTTTAACCGACTTCAAAAAGGAGTTTATTAATTCGATTTTTTTTTATATATTTCTTTTGTATGTTCGGGCATAAGTCCGTCATATATCGTCAGTTTTTCGAAATCCTTTTTTTTGTTCGAAAGGGTTTTTATTCTGGAATGGTCCCATTTAAATTTCATATCTAATAAATTTGTTGATGAGTTTCAAAGACAGACAACGGCACACTTCAAAAAATTACAGCAAATCAAACGCGATTGCAGCTAGGTTTTTAGTGCTCTTTGAAGTCGGTTCAACTTTTTTTAAATAGATTCATTAATGAAATATATTTCTTTCGAAATCTTACTTTTCATTAATTGAGTTTAAAATAAGTTTGCCAAATACTCTGTAGTGTGCCTGTCCAGTGTTGATCTATGCACTATTAATGTAATACATACGCAATTAGACAATTTATAAACATGTGATAAAGTGTTGATGAATGAATGAATTTAAATAAATTATTTATGTGATTTTTATAGTTTTATTTGTATTTTCGGAGTTGGGGTGTTTTCTATGTATAATGTGTATGTATTTACAATAAAAAAGTATATAAGTATTCTATCAGTCAATCTATATTACAATGTACTCTGTGATCTAGCTTTTCATAGTACAAGCTCTGTTTAGTTTGACAACTAGATGGCGTTGTGTCAGATGTCCTAAAATATTATTATAAGACTAATTAAAGGTGATTGTGATAATGTTTGAAGTGGTCACGATCACGGTCACGGTCATGATCACATTACACATCCACATTAATTGGCTATTTAAATAACAACTTTTAAACTGTCGCGTTCAATTCGCTTTCACACACAGCCGGCTGATCCCTAGACAGAGCCTGTACATTAGTAACAAGACCTGATAAAAATAATATATCCTATAAGCACCGGATCTAGGGGCAAACCGGGGCATCGGCCCTCGGGCGGATGTTTCAGGGGGCGCCAAAATCATAAGTTGTAAGTTTTTTTTACGTTATTTACCTCAAAAACTGGAGAGATGGGGCGCTATTGAGTTTCTGCCCCGGTTCGAAAAAATCGTAGATCCAAAGCTAATTCCTAAGTACAGACAAATACATATTATAGAGAAATAACACTCAATAACTGCCGTTGCGGAGAGTTGTTGTGGAGTGCCTATGTCCAGCAGTAGACGTCTTTCGTCTGAGATGATGAATATATAAACTTTTTGAAAAGACGCCATTTTCGTTGATTAATTTTGTTGGTTAACAAAACTACTTAAACAATAGTTAGCTAAATTAAAAAAAGACTAGGTTAAATAAAAGAAACAACCAAAGATCAGTCAGTCCGTTTAATAAATTATGTCATGTAAAAATCAATCACAATTTCAGACATATCTAAATGAGAATGATTGTAATATAATCTATCATTACACTATACAAAGCGATTACTCATTTCCTCTGTATAAGGTAATATCCAGGCACCATTTTGATATATTAACCATAAAAACCTAGTTATTCTTTTAATAAATATCCAATACAAATATTAGTGGCAGTGTCCATCAAAGTTAAGGAAACGTAGGCACATCCCTAAAACTATTTTTCTCGAAAATTCGTTGTGGATAAAGCTGGAAAGCAATTTAATAAAGTGTATTTCCAATATTTATTTAGAACCAATAGTTTAAAAACGATTACAGATTCCTAATTTTACCTTTGATTCCTGAACATGTAATTTTTTTATCAATTTCTATCCCATCTGATTACATAAAGTGCATAAGTTACTTTGTAATGAGATAAAACATACGAGATTATAAAGCTACTCTTACAATATATTATGTTTCGTCACTTACACTGCTTAATAAGATATGTAAGTAGATAAATAAAGGTTATAACGTGTAAATCACAGACAAACTTTGCTTTATTCAATATACATATCCTCTAATTAAAATGACACCTCATACAAAACACAAATTAATATAGACTTTCTTGAAAGTAATATGAAGAAATAAATATATACCTATGTCTAATATTGGGGTACACTACAGAAATACGAAAAACTTTATTCGGTCATTCACAAATACGAATTTCAAAGTACCGATTTTCATAATTCCAAATGGTTCAAAATTCCGAATATAACAACTCCAATTTATCATTAATCGTATTTAAATAATTCAAAAATTTATATTTTCTTAACGTTTATAATTTTTAGCAATTTATTCGAAGTATTGAAAATCGGAATATCGTTTTTCGGACCAAGAACCCATCGAGCATTTGATTCTTCGATGGTATAAAAATCGGTAAAAAACAAAACGGGAATTTAAATAATAGACATTATAATTGTTAGGTATTATGAAATTCGGACTTTTGAAAATCGGAACATCGAAATTCGGAATAAAATATTTCGGAGTATTTGGGTGTTACTCCAGTATTAATGATTGATGACAATAAAATATTGTTAGTTAACTAACAATTTTTGGTGTTTAAAGACTTCTTAATGGAATTTCATTAACAGATGGGCTGGACACAGATTACACAATGCCAATCATACATTAATTAGTGCACCAACAGCAGTAGAGAAGCCACATTCCTTGGAATGCCAAATTACGAACTAACGTAGTTCGACCACATTACATTGAATACAATTAAATTCATATTGGATATTTATTAAAACCAACATTTTTTTCTCCTTAGACAACAATATGAGCAACACGTCTCCAAAAATTAATGACTATAAGAAGAAACCACAATGGCCCTCGCGAGGGGGGGGGAGCCTTTTTATAATGATTAAAGATCGGTTCCTATAATCTAGCTAAATATAACATTCCTAAGGTAACTTGTTGACACACTTCAAAGATAGATTACGGGGACCGACCTTACAGGGTTGTGCAAAGTGTACATTAGACCGTGTAAACAATATTATATTTCTACGTAAAAACATATGCATTATTTAGACCAAATATACACATTAAACATCTACATCACATGTTCTGGAACATTTCATATTAGAATATCAGTTAAAAACTCGCCAATAGAGCTGGATCTAAAAATCTAAAACACAGCTCAAATATACTAACGCAGAAAGATCTAAACTCTTTGTTAATATCTCTTATTTACTTTCTGTTCTAAATTATTGCGAAGGAGTTTGCAAAACTTGGCGTATGTGATATGTACAATTTAAACACTAGAAATATACCGTTACGGCTCTAAATGGTTTTGAGTCTCAACAGACTAAAAAATATCTTTGAGTCCCGACGGACTAAAAAAATGTTTATGAGTCCCTACGGACTCAAAAATAGTTTAGCTGGAATATTTCTATTAACACTTACATATTTATTGGATACAAGTTTTTTACAATGAGAGTAACAAAGATAGCATGTAAGAAAGTATTTTTTATTTTCGTTCTTTTACTTGAAGTTTAATTTACAAAATTCTAACTAAATACAAATGGAATAGATACAATCAATATTGTGTAGGAATATAACAAGTTGAGAGAGTAAAAAGAGTTAAGACACATCGCGTGTTTTGCAAAATTTTGCAAGATGGCGTTAGGCGTACGTTGCCGTACCCACAAAAATCAAAGCAAGCCGACACGACACGTCACCTATAAAAGGATAAAATGTCCCTTAATAATTATTAAACAATGCATTTCTGACATTCAATACAAAATTTAATAATTTTACGTCGAACTGACTAGTAAAAGATGTATGTAAATTTGTATCTTTATCATAATATATCTATTTTATTTTTTGTAGCGTTACGAAATACAGCTTCAAAATATTGAATTAAGGGAATATTTATATATTTTGCTGTGATAAAGAGAAAGTATGGTAACCATACAGTGATGGATAATATAGCGGCTTTTTATGATATTTAAAATATATTAAATTGATTTTATATGTGTTTCGCTATATATTTCGCTTTACAACATTGAACAATATACTTGAAAACATGTATTCGAGAGATAAAATATATATCAACGTCTAGCTGTTACAAGTAGATGCTATTAGATCGCCAGACTATTATGTCCGTTATGACATTTTAAAACGTAGTTATTTGTATGTATATATTTAAAAAAATATATAATAAAATTTAGATGACTATTCTAAAGATAACCTCGCACATAAATCTTCACATAACAAAGCTATCTGTTCGTTTTAAGAGGGTTCATTAAGCCTTATACTGCACTGCTGAGTATTCCATATTCTCTTGTGTTTGAAACTCAGCTGTCAAACAAGACAGATTACTATTCTTTAACAATAAAAACGAGCAAGCAAAAGGTATGTAACGTCTGACCTGGCATCTAACGGACAGCACTAGTCAAGTCGCCAGTGAAAACCAACAGAGCAAATGTAACTACAAACAAATTAGTGATTGTAACCTAACTATGTCGGTTACCACTTCGGCGCGTGCGCAATATTGGCCAAACACTTGTTTTTCTGAATTTGCAGGAGTCACTAACACGGTTATTCCGTGCGGTGACGGATTAAGAATACGGAGTATCACCACCCCTACTCATCCCGTGGGTGTCGTAAGAGCCAACTAAGGCTAAACTACGCGCGACAGTAGCATTGCAAAGGGAAGGAAAACTTGACACAAACCCTATTCCAACTCGTCTGGTCAGCGTGGTATAGTAGGCCAAAACCTCATTTCTTAGGAGACGCCCATGTCCAGCAAGGGACTACTAAAGGCTGTTGATGATGATGACTGTAAATACTTGAACAGGTAGTTATTTTGTGAGCTGAGCATTTCAATAAACCCTCCCTTAAAAAATTTAACTTACATTTACAAATCCAATTTCTAGATAAAATATATTGACTACTACAACTGACTTACACTGAGTTTGCACAACCCTGCACCATTGTACCTTAACTAAATAGTTCAGTAGTTTGTGGCGGGGAGTCATCTGTTCCGCTGTGTCACCACTTCAGCTCCCTGGCGAACGAACCTGAACATACCGTTTGATATCGCGACTACGGGCGAGAATAATCGGAGTGGGTAATCGCTGTAAAAAAACAATAAAATAAATTCGTATTTTTATATTTGTTTAATGCAAACAAACAAATAAATAAAATTTGTGTCTGTTTGTAATGTCAAAATAATAGGTTTTCTCATGCTCACACGGTTATTTGCACGTTACCTATGCCTAAAAATGTTTAGAAAAAAAATTGGCTGTCTGTTTGTTTGTTCGAGTAATCTCCTAAACGGCTGGACCGATTTTGATAATATTTTACTACCAGGAAGCTGTCTATATAAAAACGTGACTTAGGCTACGCGAACGAAGTCGCGGTTACCAGCTAGTTTGCTGGTAAATTAATATGAAGCGCACGGTTGGCATAGTGGTTTAAGTGGTCGCCACGCCGCCTACTGTTGCGCTAAGTGTTGTGGGTTCGATCCCCAAATAGAACAAATTGTTGTGGATGTTAAACTGGGTGTTGTTGGTGTCCGTTTCATGTATGTTTGCAAAGTCCCTCTCGACACAGGATGTATTACCAATGCGAGAGTTACCTTAATAAACAAAATAAAAAATATTTCAGTACCTCCAATTACCGAGTAACGGAAACAATCGAATACTCCTAAAAAAGTTCAAACTTTTCAGTAGGTTTCATGATTTAGAGAACTCATTTAAGTCAGTGTTTGATTTAAAATAAATACCTAGAAACGACTCGCAGACACGTTGAACATAATTCTTACAAGTTTTTTCAAAACAATAGAAAGAGATATACAATTTAAATATAAAAACGGCGTCAGGGGTCTATGGACCCCCGGTTGGAAGAAGTTAATTTCGATTTTTGGTAGACGTTTGCTATACACGGCTGTAACTATAGCAAGAAGTGTCGGAAAAAGTCTTGTTACACATTTTTCGGTCTCGCTCCCATCCTCTCAGAGCGTGTAACGCGCGATAGCGAACTTCGTTCAAAAAAAATCATAAGTATTCTGCGCAATTAAATACAAAGAAGTGTCTGTCGAAACTCGAAAAGAAAAAAGTGTGCGTCTCGGCACGCCCGACAGAAGTGATAACTTAAACTAATCTAAGTTGAACTATTTAATATTGAAATTGTTTAACTTGAGAAAAGGTTATTACTTAAATTTTATATAAAGCGTCTGTCCGAAATACGGCTAGCGCTGTGGGTTAGAGTGAGAGAGGAGGAGCCTGCCTACCGCTGCCGTATGCGTGAGAGAAAGGGAAAGCAGACAGACTAGCGCCGTAACGGGTTAAATAACGAAACGGTTTACCATCCCATAAGAAGTTATCAATTCAAAATGTAGTACGTGATTTCTTACCTTCCTATCACGGGCGAAGCTTCGTTCCCACTCAGTATGAACACAGGGAAAAATATAGAGAACACGCAACCACTGCAACAGAAATTTTTAATTATCAAAATGAGAATTTATTTTTACACGTGTCGATTTTACAGAACCTACTACTAAATGTATATAGATTGTTTTTTCTTCTTTTTTTTGTTTTTTTTTTTAAGAATTCTTTGCACAGCCTTTTTAAGCAAATATGGGACAAGGAAGCACATCAAATTTCGAATACCCATTAAATATTTATATGAAATGTGCAAGAGGTAAAATTTATAAAAATAAAAAGTTATGTTAAAACGATACATAAATAACTAAACTGCTGTTCGTGTGGTGACGGATTAAAAATACGGAGTGTCACCACCCCTATTCATCCCGTGGGTGTGGTAAGAGCCCAACCCACCTACTATACCACGCTGGCCAACCCGTCTGGCCAGCGTGGTGTAGTAGGCCAAAACCTCCTTTCTAAGGAGAGGCTTATATCCAGCAGTAGACTATTAAAGGTTGATGTTGATGATGATGATGACTACATATAAATGTAGAGGGACAGTATATATTTAATTAGGTACAAAATTCTATACAATGACAAAACTAGTGAATAAAGTAAAACAAGATATTCAAAACAGTAGAAACTCGACCGCAACGCGATATTTAGTAATTATAATTAACTGGTATGTCGCAATTAGCGGGTTTGGTGGTATCAGTAAAAAATATATAAGCGTTAATAGGTTTTTTAACAAGAGTCATTAATAAATAATTGTGTAATATTTACATAAAATTACATGTAAAAAAATATCAAGCACAGACTCTACCACAAGCTTTCCTACTTCTGTAAAAGCCGTCTCGGCGCACTCGGTGTCTGACCCAGCCTTAAACGATTACGTATGTGTAAATTGTGAATTTATTTGTGCTGCATTCAATTTACAGTTATTTTTTAGTGACAGGGGCATACAGTCACTCACACGCACTCATATATTATATAATTCCTCTTCCATTCGACTTTCTTTCCTTACGGAACGATTTCTTTAAGGAAATCGAAAATAGTAAAAAAAAAAATACTCGTATAATACAAGCATATAGACAGATTGGCTGTTAGTAGTTTAGTAGTCAGCTAGCTAAATGCTGAGCCAGAGGTCGATTCGATGCCTAGAACAAATCAGTATGCGATTACCTGATAATAATTTGTTCTGTGTCTTTATCCATAACATGTAAGTATTTATTAATATATAAGTATGTTTATCAGCAGTCTGATTACCATACTATATGACAGAGTGTAGTTCAGGATCAGACGGCCTTGTGTGTGTAGACTTATTATTATGTATGAGTGTGTGTGTGCGTCGATACAGATAACACACACACATGATATATACCATCTTTACTGCAATAATTTACGATAAGACACGAAGAACGATTATCATTACAATAATGCGACACAATTAAACGTTTGTAATTAAATATAATTATTTACATATATGTCAAGGGAATATATTTGATAAGTACTTAGCTTTCACCATGAATGAAAACATCAAGTCTATGATTCTATACTCTTTGGATTATTTTTTTTTAAACAAGACGTTACTGCGGTAGTCTTTTATTAAAAAAAAAACAAGTTTAGCTGAACAAGAATAGCGATTCTTGTTAACCCCTTCAGACTAAATGGTTGTTAAAAACCATACTTCAGCTTACTGTAGTTCTTTTATCATCACATTAACATCCTTTAATAGTCCATTGCTGGATATAAACACAAACTGAAAATGTTTAAAATTTTCCCCCGTTGAAAGAATTCCCTTTACGTATTATTATATAGATCAGTAGCTGTGACGTGTACCCTGTCACGCGTCGCTGTGGCACATTTAATTTGCATTGCTTCAAAAAAAGAAATGAGGAAAAAAAACTTACATGAACAATAGATAAAAACTTTTTTTTTGCAACTCTGAAGCGGGATGTATTTCATGTCAAAATTTGAACTCTATCGATGTAGAACTAATATTATAAATGCGAAAGTGTGTCTGTCTGTTACTCTTCACGCTTAAAACGCTGAACTGATTTAGATGAAATTTGGTAGGTGATAGTTTGATTCTTGAGAAAAGGCATGGGCTACTTTTTACCGCGATATACAACATACAATCGGGCTTACACATAAAATATTTTCTATTTCTATAGAACAATATGCAAAGCAGACGTCATTGCCTCTAGAAACGGTTGTCAGAACATAAACATGGTGGATATATTAGTATGTATTGTCTATATAATATTATAATATTGTTCCATATTCTACCACATTCACACAACGCCATCTAGTTCCAAACTAAGCAGAGCTTGTACTATGAGTATTAGACAACTGATATAAATACATTCAGACTTTTTTTGTAAATACATAGATATCATAGATAGAAGCACCCAGGCTAAGCCCGCGACCTTTGGAATGGCAGTCCGTTACACAAACCACTACGCCATTCGGTCGTAATATTTAGTGAGAGTATGCTTTTACTAAAGTAAATAAATTTATGTATATAAATAGCAATTATATCAAATTTATTATGAAACAGTTTGAGTAAACTACTAATTCATGTATGTGCCCAGGTGACCCTTGGGGGTTTCCACACAGTGATAAAAATAATAATCGTGAAGTGTTATAATTTATCTTAACATGCAAATTATCCGAAACACTTGTGTCAATAATATTTTGCTACAACTTGTTATTAAGTGTAGTTTAAACTCAAGCCTTGAAATGTGCTGAATAATTGTTACATGCATTATCAGTTTTCAGTACCAAATAAAATGTATAACCATGCAATTAAAAAGATACCTTCACATAAAAGTATTAAATAACCATTACTACTTACATTTGCAACTAATTCATAAGGTACTACCTTTTGCCCGCGGCTCCGCCCACGTTTAAGTCGGTTAAAGTCGGTCGCGGTAAAAAGTTGCCTATGTTACTCGTTGATAATGTAGCTTTACATTAATGAAAGAATTTTTAAAATCGCTTTGGTGGTGATGATACAGTCGTAAGGATTGTCGTTATAAAAACCAAAACTATTTAAACATAGAATAGGAGAACCTGACAAGAAACTATAGGTATTACAAGAGATGCAAATACATAGCAACATTCACTGCAAAGATATAAAGTTCCATTTCCATTGAACACTCGTTAATTTGTATGACACATTACGACTCAATAAACAAAGTAATTAAACTGTATAATTGGTAATCTTACCTAATAATGTAGGACTGTGGTATCTGCGTTAGCACGGCCAGGGGCAGGCCAAAGCCAAGAAAATAAGGCCAGTTGGTCTCGATGAACGTGAGCCTCTTATGAAGCTCCCATCCCATGTTGAACCATTTGTACTCAAATGAGTAAAGTGAGTATAGTAGACACATGTGAACGAGGCACAGCAGTTCACCTATATATGTTATTGGTAACATACTGACTAACATACTCTGAAAGAAAGAATAGACTGTTAATGGATTAACACTGGATCTGAATGCAGGGAAGATGTGTTATAAATAACACTTTTATGAATTGTGATAAATAAGAGTATCTCAGTGCCTCTTAGACTCAGGCTCTTTAATTATATATATAATATATCTCACACACGGCCGTCTGATCCCAAATTAGGCAGAGTCTGTACTATGGTAACCAGACTGCTGATAAACATACTTATATATATTTAAATACATACATATTATAGATAAATTACACCCAGACATAGAACAAATGACCGTGCTCATCACACAATATTTGTCCTGGGTAGGAATCGAACCCACGACCTCGGGTTTAGCAGTCAGGGTCACTAACCACTAGACCAACAGGGCCGTCAATTGAGTATAGTTAATTCAAAGTAGACTTAACTGCAGACACTAGAGTCAACTACTGACCAGTTCACTGTTTGTAGTCAGAATTAAGCAGCAATACCCGTGAAACTAATATTAGGCATTATTTAAACTGGATAATGCTGATATTCTGTTTAAAGGTAACTTTCAACTACAAGAAGTTTCTTAAGTAAATTACAATAATACAGAATTTAAAAAATATGAGAGTACCTGAGATATCTTTTATCATAATGAAAAGATATGGGTAAGAGATTTATGTAATTAAAATTATCTGTTTCTTTTAGCATTTTATCTCGAAAAACAGGCACATTTTAATATAAGATAAGATATAAAAATTGCTCATCAATTGATTTGTCTAATTTACTTCTGTACATACTACTTGCTAGCCGTTCACCGCTATGTGACTCCACGCCACAGTCAGATCTAATGTAATTCTCGATCTAATTATCGAAAAATAATTATATAAATCTCAATTATATTAGTGGAGACTAGCTTTATTATATGACCATAGATGTACATATTATGAAATTTTTTGATTGTTAAAATAGTTAATTATTTATCATGTATATAATATAATACGACCCTGATGTAAGCCTGCACTCCTGTTAATAGTAGGAAACATATTTTACTGCTCTTAAATATCGATTGAATAAATCATGTAACCATCCCGTTCATTCATTCTAGCTATAACCTGTTGATTGTGTTTAAAATCAAAGTAACATGGTATTATAATTATGTAGATCATAGGTTGAAGATTGTGTCCGATAGATGGCGTTGTATTAAACGGCTACATCGCGCTATGATTTGTTACCAGCGATATGCATATAAGCAGATGTAAAAGTTTTGTACACAGTCGTGGTTTCATTTGTTCCCGACCCTTCTAGTAGTTCTTAGTTAACCAGCAGATAACAACTTTTGACAATTTAGCATAGTTTTGTTAGAATGGCTCATCAATTGGGCACATTAACTAAGAATTAAATATATTTCAAGGTATCAAAGCTGTTTCTTGGCACCATAATGCGGATATTTGTTTGAAACGTTTCGTACAAAAATGATGCAATCTACAAACCAGTTAAATTAATAATGCCAATTAGCTGTTTGAACTTATCTGTATTCATATTGCCAAAAAATTTACGTAGTTGTGATGAAAGACCAAGTTGTTATCAGTACAATAAATACATGTTTTGCTTAGTACCAGTATAAATAAATTATGATAGTCTCAGATCAATATTTAACTTTTGGTTACTTTATGGATTAGATTATTTCAGTACAACACGGTCCAATAACAATATTTTATGTAAATATTTATTGTGCTATCATAAAGTAGAACGTAAAATAATTCAGAGCATTTCAATTATTAATACGAGTAAGTCCCCAATTTGGGTTGATCTTTCGGAATTCTTAATTTAATAAAATTTGTATCTATGTCTTGATAATATAAAAGGGAATGTCACCTGTACTAAAAATAAGGCTTGCACCAGCAAACTGAATAATGAATCAGCAATTATTTTGCTGACGCTCGACATGAATTGTGGCCGTCCTCGTCTGTGACGGTACGCAGAGTCCGCTATGTCCTGATCAAGTAAAGATTATAATTTTTAGTTACATAATGTCATCATTATTACAATCAAGAACAAACAAAATGTTGGTGACCATTTAAAAACAGATAAAGGATGACTGTCTGTCTGGGCAAAATTTGGACATGTTACATTAAGATGGCTTAAAATGCCAAAACTGATATAAATGGTACACTAGAGCTGTTGGTGTGGAAAAATGTTTCTTTAAGTACTGTTGAAGTTAGTTGTCAATGTAACCGATATTTGACAGACATAAAGATTGGGGCAGACATTTGGCAGGGTGTTGCAAATGTGTATTGTAACTTGTTCACGCCCAGGCCCGTCTCTAGCGTATGGGAGGCCCAGGGCAAATTAGCATCATGGGGCCCCTTCGAACTTAGCTGAACACTATTTTGTTAGAATAGACAAAAAAGTATTGTAGTCAGTCATTACGAATGGTTTTTAATATTGATTTTCGATTGGTGACCCGGCAGGAATTGGGCCCCTATCGATCGAGGGGCCCTGGGCACATACCCAGAGTGCCCAGCGGGAAAGAGGGGCCTGTTCACGACACGAGTTTGTTCCGTTGCAGAAGAATACTTTAGATGTCATGAGGTCTGAGAATAGAAGGATAGGGGTTGATTTACTACTACTTCCGCTTGATGTTAGGATCTAAAATTTAAGGCTATATTACAGACATGAGATACTAAGAAGTTCCAGTTAGACAAAAGTAATTTTAATAGACAAAGAAAGGCGTGACGGGTCTGTGGACCCCGGTCCGAAAGAAGTTCCTTTGGCTTTTTGGAAGACGTTTGCTATAGTGTGGGAAAAAAGTCTTGTTACACATTATTCGGTCTCGCTCCCATCCGCTCAGAGCTAGTAACGGGCGATGAGGAACTAAGGAATAAGAAAACAAAATACTCACTTGAAACCACAAACTGTTGACTAGTTTACTCAGCAAAAACAATGGAAGCACCCATATCATTCGAAATGTCATGGACAAGAATGGTTGCATCCACGCCCATACGTTGTGAGCCACACCAGGATTGTGTCCAAATATCACGGTAACTAAGTACTTGACCGCGGGTAGCAGTGCATACTCAAATATTAATATGCTAAGCAAAAATATAAAGCCATTGAGGATGCATGATTGCAATACCCTTGTAAGTACTTTTGATTCCCTGTAACAAATATATGTATCAGTGTAATAATTGACTGCACGGATGGCTTAAGCTTTAAGCGGTCGACACGCAGCTTCCACAATTTGTCGTTCTGAGTCTGGGTATTCTTTGTGTCTTCGTTCTATGTGTGTTGTTGTGTTGTTATGTATTCCTAGTGCGGGAGTTGTTTTTGAAAAAATTGAAAAATGGGAAATGTTGAAAAAAAGAAAAATATTGACACAAATAACTGAATTGGAATAGATTTTTTTTTCTGTGATTTGACTACATACTAGTATAAGTAGTATCATAATAATGTACAGAATTATTTCATCATCATCACGGGAAACAAGTAATGGTCCATTTTAAAGGTGTTCAAAGCTAAATGCCTATGGCTATTGCTTCTCACTTTTAAAGTATTTCTATTGGTAAAAACCAGTATGTCAGTTGGCAATTAATTACTGTTGGTTTATGATATAGTTCTGCTTTTAAAGGGTGTAAATAATTTTTGATTTAGATTATTTTTACAGGATACAATCTATAATACAATAAGTAGAACACAGGTAAGAAAACAAGAATCAGTACAGGTGTGGGACAGATGTAGTTTTCTGTACAAAGTCAAATCCTTTCCTATGTACTAACCTAACTTTTATTACCTAATGTTATCTTAGCAGGGTTTAGCAGTTTTGTGGTATTTTTGAATCAGTACGGTTTCATAAACAATAATATAATTTACCTCATATAATACACCTAACACATCTCTTACAGGGCCGTCTGATCCCAAACTAGGCAGATCCTGTGCTATGGTGACCAGACTGCTGATTAACATACTTATATATTTTTAAATATATACATATTTTAGATAAATTAACACAGAATAAATGATCATGCTCATCACACAATATTTGTCCTGGGTGGGAATTGAACCCACGACCTCCGGCTTAGCAGTCAGGAGCACTAACCACTAGCCTAACAGGCCAACTAATCAACTAGACCAACATAATCTTTGCTATGGTTTACAGAGATTTAGATACGTTGACTGCACGGATGGCGTAGTGGTTTAAGCGGTCGCCACGCCGCGTCCTACTACCCCGAGTGTTGTGGGTTCAAACCCCACATGGGACGACACTTTGTGTGATCCACAAATTGTTGTTCTGAGTCTGGGTGTTCTTTGTGTCCGTTTCATGTATGTTTGTAAAGTCCCCCGCGACACAGGATTTATTCCTAATGCGGGAGTTGTCCTTTTATAAAAAAAAAAAATTAAAAAAAAAAAAAGATAAATTAGACGATTCCATACATGCAAATGGGATGAGGTTTTATGCAAGTATCACACGTATTATTGTCCTATTTGGAAAAAGGTTAAATTAGTTTGTGTATGCTTCAAAAACTCAAAAGTCAGAACGGCACGAATGGGCTGGCTCGACCGGAGTGATACCACGGCCTCACAGAAAACCAGTGTTAAGCAATTTTTTCATTGTCTTTCACTGAGTGAGTGAGGTTACCCTAGGTTGAGCCCTAATCCACCCTCCCGCTAGCTCGTGCGGGAGGGACTCCAAGGGCAGCAACGCACTTGTGACTTTTGACTTGTTGACTTCACCAAATACAATGTTTAAGTTCATTTAAACATGTCTGATATAAGTTTCTTCAGAAACAGAACTGAGAACAATTTATTGTGTGAAAATATACACTACACAGTGAAAGTATACATCAAACAACTTAACTGCGCGGGTGTGAATCCTAGTTCTGAAACCCCAAACTAAAACTTTCATTTTCGGACTAAGTTCTATAGATCATTGTAGATTGTGTTGTTTCTGATGGTTTTTTAATATTATGCATATAGGGTAATGGCACACGGTAATTAATTAAACCTTACTTAAATTTTTTTTTTTTTTTTGACATACGCATACAAGCAGAGAGGTTTGAGTTGCCGCCTTTTCAATCTCTCCCGCACCCCCGCAGAATAAGGGAGGGGATGTTTTCTAAAATGGTGTTATCACATGTGGTATTTAATTCATACGTATACATGTTTATGTAATTACCATTGTAATTATGTAACAAGTAACAATATAAACAGCAACGGATATATTTTTACAACATTTGTTAATTACGGACGCAATGAAGTCGGAATCAACTTACTGTTTTACTTTAGGTTGCTTTTGTTTATTTTTTGCATTGTCAAACTCTGAAAGAGGTGAGCGACTCAGTGCACGCTCATTGATCTCTTTATCTAAATATAAAAGTACAGTTACACCTCGTAAACTGTCTACAAAACCTTTGATAAGCGAGACTGAAAAATTCTGAAACAATAAAAAAATTAATGAACAAAGAACACGTAAAAACAACACGAAAAATAATAAAAAAAATAACATGTGGCTTACTGTAACGCTCTCCATTATAGTAATCTTTTAGTTTTTTTCAAAGTTTCATTATTACAATATTCTACTCGATTATCTATTCACATTATTATAATCAATTTTGTTTGACGCAAATCTACGTAAAAATATGATGACAAATGACAATTGACTGAATGTTTACAACCTGGTAGATAAATAATATAAAACGACAAGGTATGGTTATTGAATTCTACCACTTTTTAATAGTGTGGTGTCAATTGGCAAAACTGTAATGCTAAGCTGAAACAAAATACAATATTATCTATATAAATTTGGATATTTAAAGGAGAATCGTTTTGAGAAATATTGGAGCACTTATGAGACAATATGCTATGATTTGAACTCGTAAAGAAACATGCAGTGATTATGATTTCAGTAAGATTTAAGACTATGTCAAGAAAATGTATTACTTTTAAAAGTATGTGAATTATAAGCGAATCCTGAGTTGTAAATAGAAATTTAAATATACTTTTAGGTTAACAAAAGACCACCACTTTTGTTATCTTTCTAATTTAGTAAGGTATTTATTTCTACTCACTAAATTTAGACAGCAGGATTTAGCTATACAAAAACGGGGACAGAAAGAAAGTAAGAAAAAAATATTTATTTTGTCATACACTGAGACATCAATGACAAAACTATGCTGGATCTTTAAAACACCTATACACATAGTATCGACTGATGTAAGTACAACAACAGGCCACCGTAAAAATATTGTATCACAGTGTGGGGAGGTGCTGTAAAAACAAAGAAGTGGTACGAGGACAAAGAATTCTCATAAAAGTAATGTACTTCAAAAGGAATAGATGCCCTACTGAAAGTCTCTATCAGATTAGTGACCTGCTCTCTGTTAGAAAACTTTATATTATTAAAATCGTTTTAAACAAACACAAGACACTTTCATATAATTCTGATCTCATGCTAGGAAGGTGTAAAGACATTATTGCAGAAGTACCAGTTACTAAAACTAAATTTGCTAATAGAGAATAACGCGCTGCCAAATTATATAATAGAATAAAAAAAGAAACATATATATATATATAATAACCATGGGAATGAATCTAAGAAACTTGTAACGGCCTGGCCTGGCTTAAGCCACTGACCTATGAAGTTACTGAAACATACTAACAAGACATTAACTAATCCACACCTACAAACACACACACACACACAAACACACACAAACACACACACACACACAACACACACACGCATTCACAACACTCACATACATCATAGACAAATATAAGTATATTTTACATTTAGTTACGGAAGAGCGGAGTGTCACATCAATCAAAAATTAATGTTGAAGGTGTAATTTTATTGAAAATAAAGATATTTGTATTCAATGAAGGGCATCCTAACATTAAAATGGAGCTTAAAAAAATCTCGAAGAATTAAAAAAAATCTGTCATGGTTTCAGGCAATGAAAGAAGTAGGATTTATTTTAAATTTTAGACAAAAGAAATCATTACCAACATTTGTATAGAAAAGTCTTTCTCTGCAATCTTTATAAAAACAGTTTTATTCCATATAAATAAATAGGATCAAATTTTATAAAAAAATTATTAAGCTATTGCATAGCTTCTATCGAGGGCCTTGAGCGCGGGGACCGAATCCAGAAATTCCGTAACGAAAAAAAACCTCACGCTAAAAACAAAACAAAAAGCAGTACCAAAATCAAATGCTGAACGTCAAAGGAAATTTCGTCAACATAATGCAGAAAAATCTTACATGGATATGTAATTTGATTTAATAATAATATTTTTTATTTATTTATTTAAAAACAAATTGTAATATATGCTTCAATATTTTTATTTAATAAAAGAAAAAAAAAATGTTTTCTTATCGATCACCACGCTCAAAAAGTGTAACTTGAATTAATATCAAAGAAAAAGAAATACTGCATAAATAAAATAAATAAAATAATTATAATTGCATAAGTTGATACAAAATGCTATGCAATAGCTTTACCGCGGCAGTCCCCGAGTGCCACACGTCTTTTTTTAGTATTATAAATAGTAAAGTAATGTACATATATAAAAATTATATATACTATAGTAAAGTATTTTTGGACATATGGTAGACTTAGACTTAGATTTAGACATATAGACCTCGTTATTTAAGATTGACCTTATAATGTAGGATTAAATATGCATTTCAAGGTCGAATAATATAAATTGTCGAATAAGAAAACAAGAATAATAAAAATAAAAAGTATAAAAACCTAATACATTATAGCCTGTATTGCTGATAAACATACTTTTAATTATAAATACATAAATTACGGTGAGGTGAGTCTATGTGTGTGGAAAGGCGAATCAAAAATTCCTGGCATTCGAATTTCCTTAAATATCTTCCAAAGTGAAGATTTGTCATAAACTGGTAACCCAAAACATGCGGTGCGGTGCGGTGTATCAGCCTGTTAGTGTCAGCTGTCAGTGTCAATCAGTCAACTACCAAATAATTGACAGCTGAAAGATGACTTAAAAAATATACTCTTCTCTTTTGTTCGCTTGAATCACTTATGCATTTATCTCTTTCTAAAGTAACATCTGGAGAAAGTAACGTTGTTAGTTTGAAGTTTGACAACTGTAGTTGTACAGTGAAGTGAAGGACTGCTTCGTAATATTTGTACTAAGTATTCATTGACAACTACTTTGTTTTGAAAGGTGCCTTATATTTGTTTTTATATTTATTTCCAATTTCTCGTTGTAACTAAGGCATATGAGTTGGGCAAGATGGACAACGTATATATTCTCAACAATTTAGGGTAAGTTGCCTTGCGAAATATTTGCTTAAGTCATTAATATTCTTTTTGCAACGTATCATAACTATTATGGAGATATTTTGCCTGACCTATTAAGCAGTTTCAATGCATATAATACTACTATCTTAACATTTTATGGAATAAATACTTTTTCTTTAGTTGTGGAATATTTGTGTTAAATAATAATCTAGACCTACATATAAGAGAAAGTGAAATCGAAGTGTTTTTAATATCTACATTTATTGGGAGTTGATGTAGAAAGTTACCCGTCTATGCAGGCAAAAGCAAGCATTCATAAAACAACAATCTGTTCAATGTTTTTAAAAGAGTATTATTGTTGATTGATAGATGACCTGTAGCTTTTTATAGTACGAAGGAGGCATTGAACTCATTAGAGTGTAGGTAGTTAACTGTTTATAAATTTATTAGAAATAATCTGAAATTAAGAAAACCACGGTAACTGCAATTGTGTTTGAAAAGAAATACTGAATATACATTATACAGTATTTATCTATAAATATATTATATAGAGAAATACTGTCTGAAAAGAGGTTTTAGTTAGTAACTCATACATGTTAGAAAAGTAGGAAATACTTTTTTATAAGTAATACTGATGACCTTTACTGAACCTTGCATCTGTTTAATAAAAAAAAACTTGTAAGCATTCTCGCTTTTACCTAACTACATTCTTCTATTCCTTTCACATGCATCATCACAAAATATATAATATTTACATAATTTTGACATTTTGACCATAGCATATTTTTAAAACACTAAAGACCATTTATTGTGTCCATTTATTCTGGTGGCTAATAAATATTTTTTTAATATCCCAGGTTGGACTAAATGTTTGTATGATCTTCAAATATTTGTTTTGGAGTTCAGGTGTTTTCTATGTTTAAATATGTATGTATTTACAAAAGAAAAAAGTGCATAACTATTGTATCAGACAACCTAGCTTTGTTGGTACAAGTTCTGCTTAATTGGAAACTAGAGAGTGTTTTTTGTCAGATGTCTGAAATATTGTAATTTTTTTTTTTTTATTATTTACGGTTCACTAAACCAGAAATACACTTTGAATAAGGATACCTAGCATTATTATCTATAAATTAATGTTATTATGTGGTGAATGATAGCATTATCTCCAACATCTTCTCTTTTATGCAAGGGAAGCCACAGGCAAATAAAAGTAAACTATGAACACTACAAAAAAAAGAAGGACAGGTGTAAAATATCCAATCTGACATTGACATAAAACTGTAATTACAAAAACACACACCAAGTTTCACTTAATTTAAAGACTGCAAAAAAGACCCTGTTTTTTAATCAACTCTTTTTTTAAGAATTTTTATTCTTTAGGTAATTATTGTGGGACCAGCAATAAACAATTATACTACCTACTTACAGATTATTGGTGAGTTATTAAGAGTTGAAAGTTTTGAATTCAAGATATCTCCTTCAAATCTTGTCAAAATTTATTTTCCATCTAGCCATAAAGTTTTTACTTTCACAACTGAAGTATCGTTTTATTTTCGAAATGTGTTCCTTATTGATATGATATTCTCATCTTTTTACAAAATTAAAAAAAAAATAGGTAAGGAATTGAAATCAACATTAGAATTTTTCATACAACATAATATTTTTAAAAATCAACACTAGACCTAAAAGAAAACTGGACAGTCCTTAATTTTTTTTATGCTGGAGGGGGCAGACGGGCAGCGGGTCACCTGATGGAAAGTTACCGCTCATGAACGTCAGCAACTCAGGAGTCACAAACGCGCTTCTAGCGTTTTATTCCTAAAACGCTGGAAGCGCGTTGTGACTCCTTCCGGAGTACGCTCTGTTTGACTGTTTTTTGTTGTCTGTGGAAAAACAAGCCTATAAAAAACTTTATCATTTATGTTGTACAAAGTAAATAATTGTACAAGTACGGTTCAACAACATGTAAAATTGCCTTGCCCTTCGTGTATTTGAGTTATAAGTAGCAACGGAAGGAAACGAAAATATTCCGCAAAATGCCAGTATCCCTTGCAGTAATTACCCAGAGACTCGTGCTGATAAAAAAACCAACCTTGGTTCTTAAAAGCACTTGACAACGCACAAGCAACTCTTGCCATGTAGCTATACAGCTTAAAATGATATTAAAAACTCGGTTTAATAAATGCCATTTAAGTTACGGCTGTCATAATGATGAACAAGCATTCGGAGCCAAAGTTCAAAACTGGTATAGCTAATCAGACGACGTAACAACGAATGCCCTCCCTTTGCGGAATTGCCTCAGTCGACCACGATCAAGCAGACAGTGCGCGCGCGGCTATTGCGCGAATCGCGCGTATCTTCAATTTATATTTGTTACTTCTTTGTGACGTAGGAATGACCAACTGAGTTTTTAGTTAATAAAATTCATTGTGTTATATTCAACATGGCTGTGGACAAAGAATCGTGTCTTGCGGGATCTGTCGACTCTAAAGCTATTATCTCCGACAGGAAAGGGAGTTTAAAAGTGACCATCACCCCAGCACAACACAAGACCCTAACACACTTGCCGAAGAGACCACCAGTGGATTTGGCGTTCACTGACCTGACGTACAAAGTGCAAGAGGGAAGAAAAAGTAGTAAGTTATATGTTTTCTTGTTTTAATTTAAAAATAAAGTATTTGTAAACTTCTTTTGTTTTCAAAGATGTGATGGTTGCTTACTTCAAACAAAGTTTTATTATAATATTATGGACGTCAATATCTCCCATTTTCTTGAACAACGTAGATAATAATCGATTTAATGATGTCTTGGTCATTAATTAGGTATGTGTTTGTTAATGAGTTGTTATATCTACGACCTCAATGATATATGAGTTTCCTTAAGCGATTGTATATTTTAGTTGACATTAATTAAATGAGGAACAGTATAACCACATGTACTTTTTTGTTGCAACTTCTTGCGGTTACAGAATCTTTATTAAAAATTATTTAAATTTTAATCAAATGCTAATGGTAAAATGAATAATATATTAAAAGAAAATATAAATAAACTTTGTAGTCCTCTTTATTATACATTATTATACATTTACTCTTTACATACATTTATTACTCTTTATTATACATACGAGTATTAGCATCTTTATATATTGTCTTTTTTTATTTTGCACTTAAAAAGAACGACAATTGACATTGACAATTATTGTCGAAGACATTATGTTATGTCGTGATAGTTAAACTTTTTCATGTTTTACAATTTTATTGAACTATTGGTCATAATACCTATTATTATCGATGCAGTTTGGTCATTAAATGGCCATTAATGTTATCAAAATTCTCATAACCATTAGTTACAAATTATCGAGAAGCGTTTTCCGCCTGATTTGCATTTGTCGTTTTTTCCCTTGTAAAGTTTATCTTAAGGAAAGGAAATTAAATTGGCTTGAGCAACCTTAGCTGACAGTTGTCTTATAGGGTCCACGTTTTAATCAAAAGTAGGGAAATCACAATCACAAGGTATAAATTATATTATGATTTATAAATCTGTGACTGTTTGTGAAACAGTCACAGATTTATACCACTACTGATACTTCTTTATTATTATTCCGCTAGCCTAAGTCTCGCGAAACGTTTAAATCTGAAAAAAAACAGGTTGTAATCTTTGATAAACAAAATTTTTATTGATTTTAATGGCATTTATCTTTTGTATATGACGAAATCATAATCACATATGAAATCGCTGTGACTAAAACCAATCACTTCGTAAAATGAATATGATTTCAAACCAGTGACTGCACGGATGGCGTAGTGTTTTACTACTACGCCGAGTGTTGTGGGTTCAAACCCCACATGGGACGACACTTTGTATGATCCACAAATTGTTGTTCTGAGTCTGGGTGTTCTTTGTGCCCGTTTCAAGTATGTTTGTAAAGTCCCCCGCTACACAGGAACATATTCCTAATGCGAGCGTTGTTTTTTTTAAAAAAAGGAAGAAAATCTCAACTGGAATTTAAGAGTCTATTCAGCAACTAAGGTGAATTTTGTTGCTATTTTGTGGTTACCTACCAATTGAGTTTTTCTATAAGGAATTTCCATTCAGAACTTTTTTGTTTTGCCGGTCGAAAATTCATTATTTTATTTATTTATGACTTATGTAACAGGTTTCTTTTAATAATTCCACCGTCGTTTTATGAGAGAAATCTGCTTTAACTAACACATTGTCCTCATCTGCTTATTACCGTCCACTGCTGAACGAGGCCTCCCTCAAGGAGCGCCAACTATCCTTAGCAGTCCTTTCCACCACGTCTCTTCTATATTGTGTATTCGAAAATGACGTTCACCGAAATCGGGACACCGATGAACAATCTTAAAGTCGTTGTCACTAATTGTGTAATGCCTCCCAATAGCAATCCTATAAGTGACAGTAGTTTAGTGATCGTATTAAATCATTGTTTAATTCCCGTAAACTTACTCTTCAATACTCCTAAAACCCCATAAACGTAATTTTGTATCTGAATGTGTCACCGTTTATGTGATCCATGCAATTTATTACAATTAAATTTCTTTGTATCCTTTTTTCAACAAATATGGAATATTTGGCAAACCTACCTAATGTTTAAATGTAGATTAAATGCAGAAAATTAACATTTTTAAACAATACGTGCTTTAAAGTTAAAATTTATGTAAAAACGGCTACATAAAATTACAGGGTACCGATATATAATAATGTTTTGACCTGTTGAGGTACAAAGCTACACAATGACAGTTCAATAAATACTGGTCAATCAAATAAAATTTACAAATCTAACGAGGACTCTTATTTTTGGAATTTGAATTTGGAAATCTAGCAAGAACGACAGTTATCGATTAAACTAGTATTAAAATCGCAACAGTAGCGCTGCCAAACCAATTCATTACGTAGTTTGGAACAGAATATATGTAAAGTATCCCATTTTAATTACAGAATGCACCGATATCAGAGATTGTTGACATCGTATTTTATGTTAACGTCCTTATATGTTATCAGCATGCCCAGAGATAATAGAAGAACAAAGTGTCGGAACGGAAAAACAATTGTCTTTTATAAAGTTAAAGTAAAAAATAACCATTCAAACTTAATGTCGGATAGCAACATATGGCAAGGCATACTAAAAAAGTTGCCATGTTATTGCCGGCTTTTATAAATAAACCTAAAATTTGTGCAGCTGTGGATTAATTTATCATCAGCCTATCGCAGTCCACTGCATGACATAGGCCTCTTTTATTGCACACCAGTCCGATCTATTTTCGGTTTCTCGCATACAGCTCCTGCCACCATCTTACGCAAATCGTTACTCCACCTGGTTTCCAGGTGGTCTCCGCCCAAGAACTCAGACCCAATCTCCACTCAAAAACTCTTGTTAAGTGCTGTGGGTTAATTGTTTGTCCGAAATCCAATCACGTTAGTCATTTGGTAAAATGGCGGTATACTTGTCAAACTTTGATATCCCAATAATGCTATCATTATTACACAATGTGCGAGTGTGGTAATGAAAAGAGTGAGCATGCATTACTATTTAATTTTAAAAGTTGTTGTTTTTCGTTTGTTGAAAGGAAGAACTGTTTTTGAAACAACGTCATTGATTGCAATTCCAACAAATTTTTCGGAAGTTACTTCCTTCTTAGTAAACATTTTTTTTAATAATACAGCGGTTAAATTGCTTATTAAATCATTTAAAATGACTCTCCAACTTAGAATATTCAGCTTAACATAACTTGTCCCAAATTTATTTACGCTTAGTGCAATGTGTAACATGGCTAACGGATTTGGCTGCTTTCCCTTTTGAGCGTCAGTTTGCCTGACGCCAAGTAATGACAAAACAAGTTGGAGCAGTAAGATAGATATGGCGAGGTAGCTAAGGTATACTATAACCCATTTTCCTAAGTGGGTGCCCTAGGGTGTCCCAACACCCTTTAGGAGTCTCAGATGGGAAAACGGGACTTTGTTTTATAAACATTAGTCTATACAAATAAAAAAAAATTGAAGTGTCTGTTTGTAATGTCAAAATAATAGGTTCTTTCATGCTCACACGGTTATTTGCGATACGACAATACGACATGATACCTATGCTTAAAAATCAGGTCAAATATTTTCTGAAATGAAAGACGACTTCCTAACCAGCAAAAAGTACATAAGCACAATCAAAAAAAAAATGGCTGCAAAATCTAACAACGCTTTGATCGCTAGAGACTGTCGCTGTACTCATTTTTGAGAGAAGTGAAAGTAGACAATTTAAAGGTCTTATTATTGATGAAATTCGTGAGATGTGGCATTTTATTTTTATATTATTTTAAAATATTAGTAGGTATTCATACAAATGTCTAAAGTAAACAATTAATTGAAAGAAGATTGTGCGCAGAGCTTAATGTCTTTATTGAAATAGTTAATAGTGCAGTCATTCCTACGTACAAGTAGGCGTACACGGAGCAACCTCTTCCGTTGTAGTAACGGTAACGAGTTTTAATTTGTTTTCCTACTCTCTTTTATTTCATCACTAGCGAAGTTTCACTGCTCCGCTACCAGGGGTCATGGCTGTTACATAACCTACATAAACATGAACTATGAAAACTCTACCTAAAACACAAAGAATTATTCTAACCCCACATGCAATTTCAAAGATTAGCGCAGAGACGATAGAAAGATATATGCCACGATCGTGATATACCACTCGGGCCTCTTTCAAATTCATCAGGCCTTCATTCATACACGTTAGCCGGTTATGGTTGCTTTTAACGAGACTCTCCTGCAGTATACTGCCAATCTGGTCAATATGTGTCTTTCGGAGTCTGCCCGGACCGTTTCATCCACTCACAGGTAGGCAGATATTAAAGGGTTCGACAAGTCCACAAAATAATTTCCTTGTGTTTTTGCCAGGTTACAGGGCTTTCAAAACATTCCTCATCGTTTGTTGTGTTTACAAATATCTATTTCAGGATGAAAGTCAGTAAGTCAGCAATTATTCGTATTAATAAAATTCGTAATGTAATTCGTAAACTGTGAATTCTTGAGTTTATAAGCATATTACAGTTTTATTAAACATCCTATCCGAATCAACCATCAGAAACATTGAACATCTAAAAGAAATTAATAACGAAAGAAGTTTACCTATTTGAGAAATACTGTAACTTTGATATTTAAGTGGTTCGGCACTATTAATAACTAGATGTGGTCTTTGCTTACTACGGAAAAAAGTAGCCCTGAATCAATCGTGGTCGTAAATTATCCGTATGCGCAATTTCATTCCAAATTGTTCACTTGTTTTGCCTGAACGAATAACGAACATACATGAATCAATCAACTACTCATAAACATTCGCGTTTATAATACAAGTGATAGCTAAAACGTGTTTCTATATTGTCGTAAAGATCAAAGTGGGCTTTAAAAGGTTGATTGAACTTTGTAAGTGCATCATTGGCACTAGATAGTTTCGAGTTCTGCAACTCCAAAGGCGCAAGTGCTATGCCGCCTTCTAAATACGGAGGAGTGGGGGGGGGGGGGATTCCCTCTGAGGTCGTGATATAACTCTGGTGGGGCTTATGGCTTTCCCTCGAAGAAATATTTATGTAACTGTGTTATATCCGTTTATACATTGCCTCATAAC